ATCACTAAAATGGCCATATCTCGCGAGTTTATGGCTATCAGCCCGAGATATAGATTTTATATTTTTTATTTGGCCTAAACTACACAATTAGTGGCCTTTCATCACGATTTGGTAACTTAAGAAAGTGGCCTCTGCTCGTAAACATTAATCAAATATTGACAACAAATATTGAGATAATTTATTGAATAAACTATTTAAATAATTTAAAGCATTATTGTATTAATAATTTAAATTCATAAGTTGAATACACAACTATTCAGCATAAACCAAAATAACCATGACAATTTTATGTAGCAATTAATGTTTTTTTGGTAAGTGATATATTGCGAGGTTGAAAAGTAACTCTGTTTGATCTATACATAACAAATACATTATTTTGAGATGTATGAAACAATTGTTGATTATATTTGCGATAGAGTGTGACCATCGATGAGACACACAAATCGGACACGAAGAGCAACGAGAAGCCGAACCATAAGCTGAATATACCGCTAACTAAACACAAATATTCAGTCAAACTGAGCGCCGGATTTTGGCGATAGGTTTGCATCGGCAGCGACGGTGCCGTGAACTCAAATACATGGACTGTTTGGTCAGCACCGGTAACGTTGGTCGGCCAGGGATAGTAGGTCTCCGTCTGGACAATCTGGTAGTACTCGTGATAACAGTCGGGACTCTCACCGCACACACGCTTACAGTCGACTGTCGAGTGGCCGGCGCTGTACTCGCTTTGAAAATTTAAGCTAAGATTTTGGTCGTACGCCAAATAATCGGACGGATATGAAGTGTCATATAAATTATTATTGATTATAACTTTCTATTTGTGTTAATTTTTATGATTTAAACTCTTTCTGTCATTATTTATGTTAAACTTTCAATTATTATAATTATCATTATTTTTCAAGTATTTATTTATCATTACTTTTTGAGAGATAAGGTTTTCAATATCTTTTCATTCACTCTTTCATTGGACTTCGGTTTGAGAGGTCGTGCTCTTCGAGCACAATATAATGTCGATTTGTATTTTATAAAGACTTATAAAGAATTTGTAATTTAATTACTAAAAACTCATAATATAAACAGTATGTAATAAATTATTATGTTATAAAATAATTGTCATATAATTTGTTGTGTAGATTTATTTCGGATTAGTGCACACTTTAGTTAAAACAATATTTATTTATTGCATTCACTTTAAAACAATTAAACATTAAAAACAATTCATTTAAAAAGCATTTAGAAAACAAGTTATAGGATTGAGAGTGAAAACCAGACTGTGATATAATTTTAATTAACATTTACTTGTTTAGGGAAACATACGGTAGTTATTTAATTAAGCAAAGTTTCTAGAAAAGTAATTTAATTAGTGTTAGGAATTGAAATAATAGGCGGCAAAGTTTAGCATAAAATTAAGCAAATAGAGGCAGAATTATTGTGGTGGATTTATTCATCACAAATTTATTATTTATAATAAGTGATGTACTGTTAAATATCTGTTAATAAGCGATATTACTTTGTTTTGCAAAACAAAATCTCATAGAAAACTGAATTATCATTTAATTTCAGTTTATTTAACACTTCATTAAAATTCTTGCGATGAGTGATAACAGTCTTATCGATAGACCACTCGTTATGTTTGGCCAACACTTCCCGACACTCAGGTCTTTGTCGCCAAACAGTTGCCATCATTTGTCGAAGTGTTTCATACATACAGAATATGCATGACTTGAATACCGATTCTTTGACTTCAAATGATTCCGAACTAAAAAATCAAATGATGTATTATTAAATGATGTATAAAAACACTTACGACTGGAAATCAATGCCAAACAACTCTTCGCCGATTAAATACAGACTATAAATGTCTGATTTGTAGTTATATTGTCGTCCAGAGAGTACTTCGGGTGCCATATACCCTAAAGTGCCCGCAATTGAGTGCTCGTATCGGCTCGCAGTGTGTCTATTGATGTCGTGATCTATGGCTAAACCAAAGTCACACAGTTTTACGATACGATTAGACATATTATTGGCATTGATTAATATGTTGTCAGGTTTGAGATCTCGATGAATAACTCGTGGATTTAATTCATGCAGATATTGAACACTCTCTAAGATTTCTTTGAATATTTCACATGAAATAAAATATTCAAAAACACTATTCATGTGGTCTTCCGGTTGTCTCTCGAAGACAATGGGTTTGTCTTTGAGAACAGATTTAAGACTTTGTGAACAAAACTCCATTTGAATGAAGAGATGATTGGACTCAAGCCATGAGTGATAATACTTTACCACATATTCTGAGTCCAGTTTTGCCAAATTTGTCACTTCTTTCAGGATTTTTTGTTTCTTTTCTTCACTAAAATCTGTGAAAATGCTTTATGAATAAATTAAAAAAATAAATATATTAGTTATTATATTTACCCCCAAATTGTACTCTTTTGACGGCATATATCTTATCATCCAATCTATGCTTTACTTTAAATACAGTCCCAAAACCACCCGAACCTATGGCTGACATCTCAATGAATTGGGTTTTGAAATTATCATCATTTGAATTGTTGTAATCTAGAAAATAATTTTTAGTAACATTTAATATTTGAAGTTTGAATAGTGAACTACCATGTTCATTACAATGTTCTGAATTAACATTAATGCTTATGGAGGGACCCAACTGTTGCTGTTGTGGTTCAATAATTTCAGGTTTAGTAGAGAGTGTTTGTTTGTCTATTTGTAACATAAATAAAATATATATAAACTTATTGTAATTAAACATTAATTAAAATTACCATCACTTTCTCTCAGGGCTATTATACCTTTGCTATTACTGGCAATCTGTGTATTAATTAAATTACCCTGGTCATGCTTGCAATGTTTAGTGTCCGCTAAAATGGGTATTGACTGATGTGATGATTGTTTTAGATATATATTAGGTGTTGTATAATCTGTCTGTCGTTTGTCTTCACAACAAAATAATAAACTAATCATTAATTTTAAATTGTGTTTAAAATGTACTCAAATTACCAGTTGTTTGCTCTGAACCTATTATTTTTCGATTTCCATCAAATTGTTGTATAATCTTCGCGGAACTTGTTTTATTTTTACCATCATTTGAATTATCATTAATATCTATTTTAATGTCTTTTTTGTCTGATATATGCTTCACATCATCTGTAAAATGAATTTTAATATAATATAATATAATGTAATTTAAATGTTAAATTAAATTACCATCGTGGTAGTGGTTATTGTTTTTTACCCCTATAACGGGACTTAACTGTTGTTTTGGTTCATTTGTTTCACACTTTGCAGAGACTGTCTGTTTGTCGATAACTAATAGAAATGAAATTATTATAAATTAATTATTTATAATAAAAGTCGACTAAAATTACTATTAATTGGTTTCCAGTTGATTATATTTTTGCATAGAGTGGCCATCAGTTGTATTCGTTTGGCTTTGGTTTCATTATCAATATTACTTGACTTATCACTCATTTCTTTCAAATTAATTGTATTATAAGTTATTTGGTATTCATTGGCGTAAAAGTCAATAAAATTATTACAATTTGTTTCAAATATTTTGTGTTCTTTTGATATTTTATATATTTTATTATTTATTAAAACACAAATAAATTCATAATTCCAATCAGTCCTTGAATTAATTTGTCCTAATTTTTGGAAGTGATGTTCAGATAGTATTCGTTTCGGAGTTTTTTCAATTATTTCTTTATTGTTTTTATCATATTTTCCACAAAAATATAAACCATTTGTTGTGTGAAAATATGTACCAAATTCAAGACAACTAATTGTTTTCACATTATTTATGTTTAATATGAATTGGGGTTTCAATACTTTATCATCGGTTATATTGTGTCCCAATTCATGGTATCCATTATTACCCCAACTGAAGACATGTCCATCAGATGTGATGGCAAATGAAGAATCATAGCAACAATAAATGGATTGTATTTTATAATTATTACTAAATTGTATTTCAATCGGTGTATAAATATCGTCACAATTTCCACAACCAATTTGTCCTACAGTGTTGTCACCCCAGGCATAGACCCGACCATCACTTGTGAGGGCCAGAGTGTGTTGAGAACCACAACTGATTTGTTGGACGTTTTTATTAATAAAATATGATATAATCTCAGGTTTATAAAGAGGTTGTATTTCATTATTTGTTATTATATTTCGTGCCAATTGTCCTTGGTTATTACTCCCAAATCCATATATCCAATTCATATCATTCACTGCTAACACAAAATCCAATCCATTGACAAAGTATTGTATGTTTTGATGACATAAATGTGGTATTATTTCTGGTGATAGTATAAAACTCTTGGGTCCTAAACCCAGACATCCATAGCTATTATGACCCAAACCATAGACCATATCATCATTTGTCACAAATAATACATTATATTCATTACTCTTATCTTTAAAAACATGTATTTTTGTAATATTTTGTCTAATATTTATTGGGATTTTATGACAAACTGTAAATTTTCCCATTAATTCACACATTTTAACAAACATTTAATACAATTACAAAACATATTAAATATATTATAATTTATAACAAAGAAATAAACGAACATATATTGCTATAATCAGTCAAAACTATTGTAGACAAGGATTTGTTAACTAAAGTATTTCATACAATATATGATAATAACTATACACTGCCATAGATATTATTCTAACAATTGATTGTAGTGATAATTTATTATTTACTTAATTATGTTTTGTTTTTTTTGTTTTGGTTATTTGTGTAATGAGATTATATAATTATGATTATGATAAATAATACACATTTTTATAATTTTATCTAAATACAAATACTAAACGGTTTACTAAACATTAATTAAATATTGAGATAATTTATTGATGTTTATATAAAGATGAATAAAGTATATATTAATAAACTAACTAATTATAAACTAGTTATTAAACTAGTAATTATGAATAAACTAGTTATTTAAATCATTATTGTATTAATAATTTAAATTTATAATTTGAAAACACAAATATTCAGCATAAACAACCAAGATCATTTTATTTAGCAATTATTGTGCTTTTGGTAAGTGATATATTGCTCGGTTGAAAAGTAACTCTGTTTGATCTATACATAACAAATACATTATTCTGAGATGTATGAAACAATTGTTGATTATATTTGCGATAAAGTGTTACCATCGATGAGACACACAAATTGGACACAAATAGCAACGAGAAGCCGAACCATAGGCTGAATATACCGCTAACTAAACACAAATATTCAGTCAAACTGAGCGCCGGGTTTTGGCGATAGGTTTGCATCGGCAGCGACGGCGCTGTCAACTCAAACACATGGACTGTTTGGTCAGCACCGGTAGCGTTGGGCGGCCAGGGATAGTACGTCTCCGTCTGGACAATCTGGTAGTACTCGTGATAACAGTCGGGACTCTCACCGCACACACACGCTTACAGTCGACAGTCGGGTCGCCGGCGCTGTACTTGCTTTGAAAACTTACACTAAGATTTTGGTCGTACGCCAAATAGTCGGACGGATATTCATTGGTTTTATTTATAAAATAATTGATTTCGCATTTAGACAGGCATTCGTGATGAGAGGGGCTGCTAAACAACCGGCGCTCACGACATCCCAATCCGTACGGGACGGGCAGGGAATGGACAACCGTTTTCCGGTAGTCAATAAATATTTGGTTAAAAGTGGGTTTTATTTTCTTTACATCTTGCTCGTATTGTTTTGTGATAACCCGGTGCCGGTGGTGCATATGATAGACCAGCTCTGGTCCGAAATTCATATCGTAAATATAAACCATGTCGGTCAGAGCGGTCCCTTTACCAGGTTTATTTGCTATAAGATACTTATCGTTGGACTCGCCATCCAATTGAGAGAATAGTGTCAAACAATACGTGTCATCGCTTATGACCTGTCGTATGGGTGCGATGTCCGTACACTTGACCCTATTGTCAGACTCGTTACTGTTAACCATATTTGTCATAAAATATAACGGTTTAGTAACAAAACAGTTGTCAGTGATGTTGAGCTCCGCCGGTGTTTTTAAAGCCATAAACTGCTCGCTTATAGTCATGTTATGTAAGAAGTCGTCAATCATTTCTTCCCTCTCTTTATCGCTGTATTCATGGCTTGAGTTCCGGAATATTCTGGACTCAAATTCTGGCCTTAAATACAAGTGCTTTTCCATACATAGAGTGATTGCCGGCAATGATATGATAGTCTCGGTCTCGAAGCGCACATCAGTTGTGGTCTCGTATGAGAAATAAAGTGTTGATATTTGTGTTAATTAAATACAACATCCGATTAAACATAACAATCGAGAAATATTTTTGTAATTTTTCATTATATTTAATATTTTACTATAAAATAATGTTTCTTTCATTTTAAGCATGTTTACATTAATATCTAACTAAATTGTTTAATGGTTAAGATGACTTATGCATCACTGCATTTACATTTACTACAGTACATTAGTTTAATTATTAAAATGTGTTTTTGTTATTTCACACACAAACAAAATTACGAGATTAAAATAGCTAATATTGCACAATAATAAATATAATGTAAATTTATGCAATTATATTATAATAATTTTTTTGTATATGAAATAATAAATCATACATTTAAATTAATTATAAGCAGAACATAAAATTAAATAGTTTATTGATTTTATTATTATTAAGTTTTATTTAATAGACCTTTATTAACACATTAAAGGTTTACCTGCATGAATGAATTAAATAATAGATTTTCTTTATTGTATTTTTGTTTTTCTAATAAATATTTCAAAGGCATTGTTTTTATATCAATATAAATTATATTTTAGCCTATTAATACATACAAGAACAATAATATATAATAACAACAATATAATCTTATAATAAAATATTATTAAATTGTATAGCAGATATAATTTTAATGTCCTAGCATTGTCAAAGTTGTTTTTAAATTTCAGTATAATATTGAATCGCGGGATACAACCAAAGTGGGGTTCTGTTATTACCGGCGCTATTATGTCTATCAATGGCCGGGTGTGTGAATAGTTATGGCATTTTGTGTTTGAATTGCAATAGGTTATTAATAATAATTTATAAAGTATATTATTATATATTTTAAAAGTTTTCTAAAAACAAATGTTTTGATTTCCATGAATTTATTTTATATGCAATATCTAATTAGTTTAAAAATTATTGATGCTCAACATAAAACCTTGATTAGTTTGTAAATTTATATTATGAAATAGGTATTTTTAATATACAGTACAGTGCACGCACTAACCGGTTTTAATTATATGCACTAAAAGTGCAGTTGCATTAACTAAATCCCATATACATGGTGGACAAAATATATAATGATTTTTGAAATTAATTAAATAAAATGAATAAGATTTGTAATATATTATAAATAATATTTTATAAAACTAAATACAAAATATTCTTAATTTCTATGAATAATCTATTTATTTAAATGATGTAGTTACAGATAATTTAGAAAACATTAATATTGTTGTTAATAGTTTATCCAAACACAGTGTATTTGCAGTGCTTTGAATTTATCATGAGCATGTCAACTAAAATAATTTTATAGTGAATTTTAGACATAATTATATAGTTTTTGCAAGGTTAATCTTTTCTAATTAAATTAAGTTTAATATTATTATAGAAAATAAAATGCTATAAAAAGAAGACATGTAAAAGTGATTAACACATAATTTGCATTTGCACCAAATATAACTCGATTTTTAAAAAAAAAACTTTGTAACTTATTATAAATATAAAATATTAGTCATATAGCAAACTAATCATGAACGCAATTCTGACATTATTGTGTTTGCTATCAATTGTATTGTCATTAAATGCGCTCACTTTTAGTCCCGATGAGATATCTCAGGTCACAAACGGACGCAACTTTAAAGGCCGGGTAGTGTTGGTCACCGGGTCGTCGTCGGGCATCGGAGAGGCTATTGTCAAACTGTTCAGTCTATTGGGCGCTAAAGTGGTGGTCACCGGCAGGAGAGCGGCTGAAGTGAAACGAGTGGCTCAGGAGGCACAGCAATTATCGCCAGAAAAACTTAAAGTTTGTAAAGTTTTGTTGTTAACTCTAAACACTGTAATACATAAATAAATAAATTATAAATAAGTAAATTAATTAACAGCCGTTGGAAGTGGTGGCAGATGTAGCCAAAAGTGATGATCTGGAGAGACTGATGGACGAGACAATTAAAACCTATGGTAAATTAGACGTATTAGTCAATAACGCGGGCATATACAAGATAGCTGCTTTTAGTGACACCAAAAATTACATGAAAATATACGACCAAACATTTCAAGTAAATGTCAGACCTGTGCTTGAGTTAAGCCAATTGGCTGTACCACACTTGGGGAAGACCAACGGTTCTATAATTACCACATCCAGTCGACTGGCAGAGCATCCGGTAATTATTTTAAAATAAAATTAATTATTTTAATCTGCACTATTATAATTATTTTAATTAATTTAGATGCCCTACGGTTCAGCTTATTGTATGTCCAAAGCGGCCTTAGATATGATGACCAAAGCATTGGCCCTGGAGTTGGGCCCCAATATTAGGGTCAATTCTATTAAGTAAGTTATTATTATACAATATACAAATATATTTAATGCGCAAACTTTATTATTTAATTACCACAGTCCTGGACTCACTGAGACTAATCTGAATAGTGATCCCGATGTTGATCCTGCTTTAATCAAAGCACTTCAGACCACGATCAGAAACAAAACACCCCTGGGTCGATTGGGTTCGCCACTAGATATGGCTAAAGCGGTAGTATTTGTTGCCTCAACCGACGGCCAGTTTATTAACGGCGCTAACATTAATATCGACGGCGGTATCAAAGACTTTGGTTTCAATTAATTATAAATGTATATCTGATAATATTAGATTTTTGTACTTGGTTTTTAATATATGTTTTTAAATTACAACTTACTACATAATTGTGTAAATTTAATCAATTTGTGAATAAACCGTATTGTCATATTAAACACTGTTTTATTTTAGTTCATTTGTGTAACTATTGGATAACTTTTGAAACTTCAAATATATTAAATCACTTATTAATAATTTAATAAAATATATATACAGTATATTACAACTAAAATTGCATTTTGTTTAAAATACATAATAATTTAAATAAATATATAAATGTAACTTTATTAAAATAACGTATTTGTTATTTCCACTTTGAGTAAAACATTAACCATGCACAAATGTTTTTCAACTAGTTTATAATATGTCCAAATTAGAATGACAAAAATTGTTTTATAAATTTTGATACAATATTAATTAGTTTAATTTAAAAAAATATAGAAAACTAGTCCACTAACTTAACACGGTTAAAACTTGGCCAAATCCATGAATGTGATCAAAAGCCTCGTTCATTACAGGCATTAATCTGCTCATAGATGGTAGAGTATAGTTGAATAGTCCCAACATTTAAAAAAATAGTATTTAAAGGAGGATGTCGTAGACTCTATGTTAATTTGGCTAATAAAATAATTTTTATTTAACCCTACGGAAAAAAGTTGTCTAAATTGTATCTTTGCCGATTTTTAGTTCGAAGTTAATTCAATGCGATAATCTACGTTAAATTCTACATAGATCTCATATATCATATGTTAATTTTTATAAGTTTGAAATTCACGATAAAAGTGGTCACTACCGCCGAACCCGAGGTAGGTACGGCCATATAGATTATATCATTGGACTCCTTATGCATTGTACTTTCATTTTATATAGTCAAATCCCGGTTGCCAGCTTAGCCCAAATCCGTCATCCTACTTTACTAAATTATGTGAATTTAAATATTTAAAGTTTTTCAATATAATTGCATGTATTGATATTTTATATAAAATAACTGATCAGTTTAGACAATGGATCTATGTTGTCTAATATAAAACCTTAATAAGTTTGTCAATTTATATTGCACACAGTAATTTGTATGCATACTACAGGTATGTATAGACCAGTGTTTGGCAATAACACGTAATAAATCAAGTGATCAAAATATTTGCACTAAAAAGTACATTTGTACCTTATGTACAGGGTGGACACAATATATAATTGTGTAATGCAACTAGGTAAATTTATTAAATAAAATTTTTAGATATTATAATTGATATTTCTAATATTATTTAGTAATAATTTTAGTTTACATAAAAGAATGTTTATTAATTCCTCACAATTTTTAGATTAAGTTAAAGATTACAAAAACACTAATATTGGTGCTAATATTTTATTAAACACAGTGTATTTGTAGTGCTTTGCACTTAAAATAAAACTTGTTAAACAAAATGATTTTATATTGAATTTTAAATTTAATTATACTCTTTCTGCAAGGTTAACTATAATACTTGAATTTACTCTAATAACATTTAAAATAAAATGCTATATAAAGAAAACATCTTGGAAGTTTATTCAATACATAATACTTGTATGTCTTACAGATAATACAAACTGTATAAGTTGTATAAATTGTTAAAAATATAATATATCAGTTATATAATTAATTATGAATTCATCTATGATAATTTTGTGTTTATCTTTAATGGTATTGTCTATAAATGCGCTCACATTTACTCCGGAAGAAATATCTCAACTCAAAAGTGGCCGCAACTTTAAAGACCGCGTAGTGTTGGTCACCGGGTCGTCGTCGGGCATCGGAGAGGCTATTGTCAAACTGTTCAGTCTATACGGGGCTAAAGTGGTGGTCACCGGTAGGAAAGCGGCTGAAGTGAAACGAGTAGCTCAGGAGGCGCAGGAGTTATCGCCCAAAAAACTAAAGGTTAGTATTGTATAATATATATTATTAGTGTTGAATCTAAATACTTTCATTATATAAATTCTTAATCAAACAGCCGCTGGAAGTGGTGGCGGATGTGACCAAACGTGAAGACCTAAAGAGACTGATGGACGAGACAATTAAAACCTACGGTAAATTAGACGTATTGGTTAATAACGCCGGCATATTCAAAATGGCGCCCTTTAAAGATACGAGAAATTACATGAAGACATACGATCAGACATTTCAGGTGAATGTCAGACCTGTGCTTGAGTTAAGCCAATTGGCTGTACCACACTTGGGGAAGACCAACGGCACCATAATTACCACATCCAGTCGACTGGCAGAGCATCCGGTAAATATATTTTTACAAATAATATTAATATTTACAATAACTTTATTCCTTAATTAATTACAATCAATTGTAGACACCATTTGGTTCAGCTTATAGTATGTCAAAAGCGGCCATAGATATGATGACCAAAGCGTTGGCCCTGGAGTTGGGCCCCAAAATTAGGGTCAACTCTATTAAGTAAGTATTTTCATAATTATTTAATAACGTGTAACTTTATTATAATATAAAGTTTACAATATGGTTAATCATGAACTTTTATTTTACAACTCCAGTCCTGGACTCACTCAGACTAATCTGAATAGTGATGTTGATCCTGCTATAGCTAGATTTATTCAGACCACGGTCAAAAACAATACACCCCTGGGTCGATTGGGTACGCCGCTCGATATGGCCAAAGCGGTAGTATTTTTGGCCTCAACCGACGGTCAGTTTATTAACGGCGCTAACATTAATATCGACGGCGGTATCAGAGACTTTGGTATCAATTAATTATTTGTGGGATTATATAATATTTTATATGTAATTATTTTTTAAGAATTTTTAATGCAATATAATTCGTGTCAAATTTTAAAACTATATATTTTAAAATTTTATATTTATTATTATGTGTTTTTTAAAATTATAACTTAATAAATTTGTGATACGTTAAACCATATTAAAAATCGGGCTTATTATAAAAGTTACCTACATTTTTATTAAAGTCACATGTTTTGTATATTCAATAAACAAGAAACTCAAATATCTCGACATCTCTTTGGTCTGGAAATTCAAACAATATGTCAAAATAATTATCAACTCCGGGAGTATATAAATTGTTTTATTGCCACACATTATAATATTGAATAAATAAAACTAGGTGTTTATATTTAATTATTTAAAATATAGTAATGAATTTTTATGCAATTAATAATAACAGTTTTAAATAATTTTTATTTGTATGTGTTCATGTTTTACAATATAAAAGTATAACATTTTGTCATAAATAGAATTAAAAAACATAAAATAAACAATAAAACTATTGTAATTGAAATTACTAAAAAAAACCTAAACTATTTATAACATTGTTCAAATTTTGAACATCAAATAAGGCACTATCAATAATAATTGAAATGTATCACAAGCTGTATAATAAAAGTAAAATAAGAAGTTAGAAAATGTATTACAAAACAATCTTGATAATTATACGCCAAGAAACTGGACGCCGCCGTCAACGGCAATGTGAGCGCCAGTAATAAACTGTGCGTCAGTTGAGGCCAGAAATACTACCGCTTTGGNTAATAAAAGTAAAATAAGAAGTTAGAAAATGTATTACAAAACAATCTTGATAATTATACGCCAAGAAACTGGACGCCGCCGTCAACGGCAATGTGAGCGCCAGTAATAAACTGTGCGTCAGTTGAGGCCAGAAATACTACCGCTTTGGCCACATCCAGGGGCTGACCCAACCGTTGTAGGGGTGTATTGCTTACGGTTTGGTCTAAGAAGGCATTCACCATGATCGGATCCACATCACCAAACAGATGTGTGTCAGTCATACCCGGGCTGTCATTAAACATACACTTCATTATAAAGACGATTATAAAATAGACATATTTAAAGCACTCACTTAACTGAGTTAACCCTAATTCTAGGGCCCAACTCGTGGGCCAACACTTTGGTGGCCATATCTATGGCCGCTTTGGACATGCAATAGGCGGTACCCAATCGGGACTTAATTGTGTTAAATAATGATGTTTACTGTATGTTTACTCAATACACCTATTAATTATTAATTTAACTATTAATGTACACATACCGGATGTTCGGCCATTAAACTTGATGTGCTAATAATGGTACCGTTGTTTCTCTCCAGATGTGGTACAGCCAATTGACTTAACTCAAGCACAGGTCTGACA